ATTTTTTTATCTAAAAAAATTTGAGGTTATTTAAGACAGAGAAAGGTATACTTTCACCAAGTTTTGTCAAAATTAAATTATTTTTTAGCGGAAATGAGAAATAAAAACGAAAAATCAGAAAAAAACCTGTTTTTCGCATTTTTCTAGGAAATTTTGAGGTTATGTTAAAAAGTGACCTCTGCAAAAGTTGTAAATTTTTGCGTGATCTACAACTTTTGTATTGGATACTTTTTTGTTTGACGTCAACTTTCGCCAGAAATCCCAATGATACAATTTTTCATAACTTTTCAACCCCCCCAAATCAACCCTCCTGCTCACGCATTTATTTTTTTTTCGTTTATTATAAGCCCCTTTACCATTTCCACTCATAAAAGTCCAGGTAACAATTTTCTTTTTTTTCCTTCTAAATGAATTAATTTGATCGGTCTATATAGGAATTAACAAATTTTCAATATATGTAATTTATGTTACCACAACTTATTTTGTAAAAGAGAGAGAGAGACAGATAAAAGGAGTTATGAATGAGTAAAATGATTTATGCTTACAGCGGCCTGTTCGGTTTCCGAATTACTATCGGAATCCCTGCGATCGGCTACAAAATTAACAGGTGACGGTGCGGGACGAGCTGGCCTTTCGGGAGGTTTCTTCTCGACATTCTCTATTTTCCTACTAGGTTTACTAACTGAAAAAAAAAAAAAATCACAAACGTACAACATATACTCGGTATAATAAAAAACATACCAAAATTATCTACGGTCTCGTCTTTCTCAATTTGAGAAGTGAACATGGTGTCCGATGTACGTTTGGTTTGATCGGTTTGCCAGGGAGCTGGTTGCGACGGTTTTCGTTCGGCATCTGTTACGAAAACGTTCAAAGAAGCCGTGAATCTGTCCTGGTAATGGTCCTGGCCATCGGCTAACTCGTCCAACTCAGACCTGGAAGTAAGTTTGTAAGTTTTTTAAAAACGAAAAGTTCATATATTATATATACTCTGAACAGATAACTGTAATCTGTTATAAATAATTCAGGATATGTCACAATGTTATAAATTGTAAGTTGTAAAAGTGAGAAATTACGATAGTCGCCTTATCTTACAAATTTGAATGTTCGCATTTATGTCTATCAACACAGAATTATTGTTTTCTACATAATATCACTCTGAAATTATTATTATGTGCAATATTTCCACTAAACACGACAATAACTAAAATGTGCTACACGAGAAAACCGTTTTTAAGTAAGTTCACAATTTAGATTCAACTTTTGTTATATTGTTTTACATTTTGGTTATTAAAACCTAAATTGAATAAAACTGTTTTGTTTTTCTTATGATTCATGCATCATCACACTTCGCTTCACAAAATTTTGACAGTTCAATTAAATCATTAAATTTTTACTGACAATGTCAAAGTTTAGATAAATGAAAATTTTCACATGAAGAAGAGTGAGATATGCTTCAAATTTATTTATTAATTAATTTGTAGAATATTTGACTTTGTTTCAACTGCAAATTGCATTTTTAACTTTCCGCACTTTGATATAACCGATGAAAATTTAATCAAATTGTCAAAAATTCATATAAGTAATGGATGGTTGGATGTTTTGTTTTCAGAGCAGTCCTTGTAAGAATGATTTGTTTGGTGTTTTGATGACAATAGGTTTTTTTCGCGACTGAATATTGGTGAATATTTGACTTGTAGTTACTATTTCTATCTATACTATAATATGTTTCAAATTTATTTATAATTTGAAAAATATCCGGCTGTTACAACAAAATGTTCAATTTTTAATTATCTGAACTGTGATACTGTCAATGAAATAAGGTGAACTCTCAAGTATAAAGTTGTTTGGGTGTTTTTTTCCAAAGCACTCTGTAAAAATAAATAATTTGGAATTTTAACGATAACGTCAAAGTCGAGATAAATAAAAATTAAATATTTACATAAAGTGCAAGCTCAAACTTAGTAATTAATTAATTTGAAAAATATTAGTGTTTCAAGTAAAATAGCATTTTTATATGAACTTTGATAGTGTCAATAAGTAAATTTAATTGAACTGTCAAAGTTTTGCTTAAAGTTTGATGTTTTGTTTTAAAAGTTGACTGTAAAAATGAATATGGCATTTTTAGTCCAATTTCGGTCAACATGCCTGAATTTTTGATATGAGTTAGTTAGAGGTATATTGTAACAATAAATAACAGTATTTTTTTGTTCAATCCCCGGCCAAGGGTGAAAAAAGATAAAACAAAGGGGTTTTTCAAGATAACTCAAAAAGGGTAAGAGCTAGAAAAAAAAGTTTTTAATGAAAGTTCTAAAGCATAAATTCTACATAAAAATGGCATCTTGACTTTTTCTTGTAGTATTAAAATTAACAGAGTTAGGGAGGCTAGAAGTTAAGGGAAGATTTTAGAAATTTAAAAAAATCATAACGAGCAGAAAAACGAACGAATTTTGTAATTTTTTTTTTCAATCTACTCTAAAAAATGTGAAGACACCAGAGCTGGGTAATTCCTGGTGAAAAAGTAATTAGTAATTACCTTCCCTTTTTTTTCCTGTAATTGTAATTGTATTTAAGTACTTTTTTTATTAAAGTAATTTGGAATTGTAATTGCAGCAAAATTGTTATAGGAATTGTAATTTGTAATTATATTATTTGAACTATCGAATTACAAATTACTTCTATAAGTACAAATACTTTTTCCAATTCCAATTACTTTTTCTAATAATTATAATTACTTTTAAGATCATGCGTATTGCGTAATTGCGTACAGATTTGCAGACTTCTATTATTTCATTTGAGAAAGCCTTGTGCCGCGTGAACAATAAAAAGTGATTTGGTGAATTAACCTCAGAATTAACAGAGTACATTTTATTTTATTATAATTATTATTAATTTAGAAAATATACGAAGTAAAAATATGTTGTCTATAGCATCAAGTTTTATAAAAATATATATTATGTATCTATGTGTTACTGCTCTTATTTTGAGTTGAGAAAACTTCTGGTTCGGTTACTCAGCCTTTCACTCGTACTTGTTCGATTCGTAATTTTTTTAATAATAATTATTGCTTTCCAGTCTACCCAAAACTACTGTATTCTATATTTTGCAAATGTACTAACAACCAAAAA